GCTACATCTTGTATATTTGAAATTGAGAAAAATATAGTACTTGGGTAAACATGACAAAATCAAAATAAAACAAAATAAATTTATTCTAATTTGCTCCGTATTTGAATAGAGATAACAAAATATTATGCAAAAAGACCTTTATATTAAAACATCAGTATCAACAACAAAAATGATACAACAGTAAAGTTCACTATTTACTTAAATATTAATTTATCAAATGTTTATAGTTATAACCATACATTCCAAATAGTGTGGTGCTTTAATCCAGTAAAATGAAACTTCCAGAAGATGTCAACGCTTTCAATTCCACAAACCGTATTTGGGGTATTAAGCGCCCCACTCTAATAGATTTTTTACAATTGCCTCATACTGAGCCCGAAAGTTTTCAAGATAGTCCATATTTTTTTAATATTGTGTAATACAATACTTTTTACAGAAAATACAGCAGTGAAGAAAGTGTATGTTATACAGACAGCAAGTTATGTCTTTTCCCCAAGAACAGGCATTACCTCTGTCCTGTCAACACCATTAATAAATCTTTCAATAACTCATTGTAAATAGTTTTAATGAGGGTCCAATTTTATCCATTTTTTAAGCGAATACAGTTACCATTTTTTCGAGCCAATCAGATTACAGCACAAATCTCAGCATTTCATCCTCTCATGTGAAAATCAATATAATAATTTTTTTTCAGAATAAAAACATTGGAATAATTGTTTTAATAATTGATACCTAATCCTTTCCAAGCGCTACCCCTGCACCTTTAAGGACAGGTAAAACTGTTCATACATCAGACAGAAGGTGGCTTACACGCAACATTTATCTTGGCACTGCTTCCAGGAATTCCACTTTGATATAAGTTGGTAGGAGATAAAGTAACATCGCCATATGTTGCTGGTTTACACAAGAAACAGCTGTCTACCTGATATATATGACATGAAGTTGCATACATATCACCTCATTATATGCCTACAAACATCACACCTCATTATACGCCTACACACATCAACCCCTCATTATTAGCTGACACACTTCATGCCCTCATAAGCCTACATACAAAACACCTTGTTCTATGACTACATATATTACGCCCTCATTATTAGCCGACACACTTCATGCCCTCATCGGCCTACATACAAATCACCTTGTTCTATGCCTGTATACATCACACCCTCATTATTAGCTGACACACTTCATGCCCTCATAAGCCTACAAAGATCACACCTCATTATACGCCTACACACATCAACCCCTCATTATTAGCTGACACACTTCATGCCCTCATAAGCCTACATACAGGACACCTTGTTCTATGCCCAGATACATCACACCCTAAATTATTAGCTGACACACTTCACAACCTCATAAGCCTACATACGAAACACCTTGTTCTATGACTGCATATATCACACCCTCATTATTAGCTGACACACTTCATGCCCTCATAAGCCTACAAACATCACACCTCATTATACGCCTACACACATCAACCCCTCATTATTAGCTGACACACTTCATGCCCTCATAAGCCTACAAACATCACACCTCATTATACGCCTACACACATCAACCCCTCATTATTAGCTGACACACTTCATGCCCTCATAGTTCGCTTGTCACGCCGAAGACCCGGGTTCGATTCCCGACATGGGTACAATGTGTGAAGCCCATTTCTGGTGTCCCCTGCCGTGATATTGCTGGAATATTGCTAAAAGCGGCGTAAAACCGTATTCACTCACTCATGCCCTCATAAGCCTACATACAAAACACCTTGTTCTATGCCCAGATACATCACATCCTCAATTATTAGCTGACACACTTCACACCCTCATAAAGCTACATACAAAACACCTTGTTCTATGCCTGTATACATCTCACCCTAAATTATTAGCTGACACACTTCACACCCTCATAAGCCTACATACGAAACACCTTGTTCTATGACTACATATATCACACCCTCATTATTAGCTGACACACTTCATGCCCTCATAAGCCTACATACAAAACACTTTGTTCTATGCCCAGATACACCACACCCTAAATTATAAGCTGACACACGTCACACCCTCATAAGCCTACATACAAAACACTTTGTTCTATGCCCAGATACATCACCCCCCCCCTAAATTATTAGCTGACACACTTCACATCCTCATAAGCCTACATACGAAACACCTTGTTCTATGCCCAGATACACCACACCCTAAATTATTAGCTGACACACTTCACACCCTCATCAGCCTACATACGAAACACCTTGTTCTATGCCCAGATACATCACACCCTAAATTATTAGCTGACACACTTCACACCCTCATCAGCCTACATACGAAACACCTTGTTCTATGTCCAGATACATCACATCCTGAATTATTAGCTGACACACTTCACATCCTCATAAGCCTACATACGAAACACCTTGTTCTATGCCCAGATACATCACACCCTAAATTATTAGCTGACACACTTCACACCCTCATAAGCCTACATACAAAACACCTGATTATATGCCCAGATACATCACACCCTAAATTATTAGCTGACACACTTCCAACCCTCATAAAGCTACGTACAAAACACCTCATTCTATGCCTGTATACATCACACCCTCATTATTAGCTGACACACTTCATGCCCTCATAAGCCTACATATATCACACACTCATTGTTATCCTACACACTTCATGCCCTCGTAAGCCTACATACAAAACACTTTGTTCTATGCCCAGATACATCACACCCTAAATTATTAGCTGACACACTTCACACCCTCATAAGCCTACATACGAAACACCTTGTTCTATGACTACATATATCACACCCTCATTATTAGCTGACACACTTCATGCCCTCATAAGCCTACATACAAAACACCTTGTTCTATGACTACATATATCACACTCTCATTATTAGCTGACACACTTCACATCCTCATAAGCCTACATACAAAACACCTTGTTCTTGGCCCAGATACACCACACCCTAAATTATTAGCTGACACACTTCACACCCTCATAAGCCTACATACAAAACACCTCATTATATGCCTGGATACATCACACCCTAAATTATTAGCTGACACACTTCACACCCTCATAAAGCTACATACAAAACACCTTGTTCTATGCCTGTATACATCTCACCCTAAATTATTAGCTGACACACTTCACACCCTCATAAGCCTACATACGAAACACCTTGTTCTATGACTACATATATCACACCCTCATTATTAGCTGACACACTTCATGCCCTCATAAGCCTACATACAAAACACCTTGTTCTATGACTACATATATCACACCCTCATTATTAGCTGACACACTTCACATCCTCATAAGCCTACATACAAAACACCTTGTTCTTGGCCCAGATTCACCACACCCTAAATTATTAGCTGACTCACTTCACACCCTCATAAGCCTCCATACGAAACACCTTGTTCTATGACTACATATATCACACCCTCATTATTAGCTGACACACTTCATGCCCTCATAAGCCTACATACAAAACACCTTGTTCTATGACTACAAATATCACACCCTCATTATTAGCTGACACACTTCACATCCTCATAAGCCTACATACAAAACACCTTGTTCTTGGCCCAGATACACCACACCCTAAATTATTAGCTGACACACTTCACACCCTCATAAGCCTACATACAAAACACCTCATTATATGCCTAGATACATCACACCCTAAATTATTAGCTGACACACTTCACACCCTCATAAAGCTACATACAAAACACCTTGTTCTATGCCTGTATACATCTCACCCTCGCTATTAGCTGACACATTTCATGCCCTCTTAAGCCTACATACAAAAACATGTCGTTCTATGCCTACATATATCACACACATTATTATCCAACTAACTTCATTCCTTCATGAACCTACATACAAAACACCCAGTAATACCACAGTATGCCACATACATCACACCCTCATTTCTAGCCGACACACTTCAATTTATTATGCATCAGTTAGCCCTGTTCGAGCATTTTCAATTTATGGCACTTATTACAAGTTTCTTTTTACCACCCCACCGACCCCCCTCTAATGAAACACAAGGTTAGTGTTAAATTTGGCATCTTAGCCTTCTGCTTTAACTATAATATTTCAGGGAAAAACTATATTTATATTACACTATACATGGGAGTAGATTAAACTTTATTTCTTAAACAAAGATTTCAGAAATACCTATCTCAGAAAAAGTTAAATACTCTAAATATAAACTGGTGGACATCCTTAACTTGTTATGACTCAGTGGCAGAGGCTGCAAGCTACTGTTCAGACATTAGCAAAGTATCATCCATTCCTGTCTACAGTAAAACCTTCATCTGAGTAGACTCTAAATATCCAGGAAGGAAAATTTCAAATACATGGATATGTGGACTTGTCGATAAAAAATACACCTAAGTGAGAATGTACGCTTAAGTGTAGTCATGTGACCAAGCAGTGACATCATATGTTAGTGACGTTATAGTCGCTAACCATCAGTCTTAGCTCTGTGCATTCCCACAAAGCAGACATGTCCGAAGAAGACGGTGACATGCAAAAGGCAATTACACATACCAGTATTGAGAAAACACTGGATAAAACTAACATATTATATTTTTACAACAATAAACTTTATTTTGTTGTGTCATTGCTTGGTCACTATGATGTAATGTACTTTAAACTCATGTGTAGAATCGAACCTGGGTCTTCGGTTGGACGAGTGAACATTTCAACCATACAATTATTATGCCCTTATTATGCATTTACAGATGTTGATCTGTTTAGTGCAAGATTTTCATATGAAGCGGACAGTTCATCAGAACGTAGCTTTCCTCAGGCAACACACAAATCAAGCAATTTGGCTGTAACATCAGGGCAGGGATGGCTTAAATTTATAGTCTTCATACACTGTATCCTAATTCAAGAACACCCTAACCAGTGGACTACAACCATTTCACAACATTGTCACAAGACAAATATACTTACCAGGCTTTCTGTACAGGTAGACCGGGTATGATGGTTCTGAGGGGCCTTCTTCAGTAATGGCGCGGACTCGGAACGCATAGTCTTGTCTGGGCCGAAGTCCAGTCACCTGATAGGAAAGGTCTGAGGTGTTGGGGACAAGAGTTCGCCAGTGGGTGGTTGGGAGTTCACGAATCTCCAGACGGTAACGCAGGTCCATTGGAGAGAAGGATGGGAGATAGACAGGTCGCCATGACACCCTGACAGAGTCACCATGGATATCATAGATCTCAGGCTTCTCTACTGGGACTCTCGGCACAACTGGAAGGAAAAAAATCAAATAAGATATTGCTGAAACATTCAAACCTGCTCAAATTATAGATTTGTTTTCATGCTTTGTGTTGCTGTGAAGTTCCAGAAAAATAAAACTGAATTGTCAATGGTCATAGTTTATTAAAACACTCACCAAGTGTCTCCCTTGTTCCCAATAAAGCATTTCGACATCTGGAGATCTGGTGTGAGTGAGTGAGTTGCATTTAACACTGCTTCTAACAGCATTTTAGTTATTTCATAGCTAAATATCACAAATAACCGAGGGTGACATCATGAACTGGCTTCAATCATGGTACAATGTACAGAACTGAATATATATGTCAGTTGTCAATGGTACGACTTTAACTTGCTATCAACTCCAAGGAAAAGAGATCTAACTTAACTGTTGGAAGGGACAGAGAGGGACAGAAAGGAGTTCTGTGATACTGACCTCTTCTGGGAGAGTAGGAAATGGGAATAGAAGGTGCGCTAAGACCAGTATCAGTCTCGGCACGGATCCGGAACACATGATCCTTATAGCGGTCAAGGTCTGTCAGCTTGTATGATGGTTCAGTCAGCTTGGACACATATGGATGCCAATCACGTTCTTTCGGTCTCCATGTCTCGATCTGATATGTTGGTGCTGTCTTCTCATATGCAGGGATCTCAGGTCGTTTCCAAGACAGCCGCAAATTGGATGGTTCATAGTCTTCAAATTCTGGAATTTCAATTGGTCCTCGAATATCTACAAAAACAGACATACCTCTTTACTCCCTATGTGCCACCTTTCTGAAGGATGATCTGCACCCCAAAATGGGACACATGTTGCCTCTCATGGTCATCCAAGAGTGAGGGAAAAACATATGTCATCTGACCCCCCCAAAAAACTTGTAAAAGCTTAAGCAGAGGATCATTAATAGTATCAGTTACATGGACATGTTAGAAGACTGCTCACTAAGCAGGAATAAGCTGAGCTGATTCTAAGCAAGGGAAGACAACTCTCACTTACTTGCCACTTTTACCATTCCATAAAGCATTCTTAGCATTGACAAAACTGCTGTAGCACACAGATGTCTCTATAGAACTGGATCCAGAACTGTTATTTTGCACTGCATTTTGTTATTTTGTAAATTAATAAGCAATAGGGGAGTTATTTTAACTAAAATTAGTTTTCTCCGTTTCAAATGATTTACAGATATTGGGGAAAAGGGAAAATGATCTTGTATAGCGAGGATAAGGTTGACTAAATCCTAAGACTTAAGGATGGGTATTATTCAGAGTACAAATGAGACTCAGATTAGGCACATATTGTTAACAGATCAGAGGTATGTCATTTTTGCAGGTACCAGTACATTTATTTCAGAATCACAATACTAAGACACTGCAATATCTAAAGGCAGTAAAAAGGGGTACAATGATATATCACTTGACTGAATGTAATATTAATCATTTTGTATGAAATTATTACACAATATTTTGAAATAAAAGCTTTTACTGACATTTTAATATTTCTTACAAAATTATGATCAATATCTCTGAAAAGTACTTTGATGATGATATATGCTAAACTTTTCATGTTACAAATGTAATTACTTCAACAGATCATGAGATCATCTTTGTTTGAATTAATTTGGTAATTATGAAAGAATTACATGAGAGGACTACATCAGGAAGCAAGGCATATGGGACAGGCTATGCACACTAACAAGACAACAGGGGTTTTATAAGCAAATATAAAATTTAAAAATCACAACACTGAAAATGTAAAACAAAATTAAAATAAAATAAAATTTTAAAAATATATAATACAACCCAAAGAATCAAAATATTAAAATAATAAAATTCAAAATGTCAAAGCAATAATGATATGAAATGCATGTATATTATATATATATATGACATAAACAACATATATAAGATTGGATCTATATTTCGTTACACAATAGTTTAGCAAAGGATCACCATATACTGAAAATATTTTCTTTAATGTTATGATTGTGTGTGGATTTTGAAATGAAATTTCCACTTATCTCAAAAACTTTTGAAGGTGATACTTTCCTAAATCTGCCTCATAACGTCATTGTTACATTAGAGTTCACCTATATTTAAACTACAAATTAGATATATATACACATTAATCATTCTGGTGTTACTTTTCTGAACTAAAAGACCACCCTTTTAATGACTATTTTTACACATGTACATGTATGTTAAAAAGAGGAATGATTATCAAAGGGTCTTCACAAAATTCAAGAGTTATGAAAACTTTTTTTTGTAAACTGTGAGAAAGTGGGAGAGGATAAACAAGTGAAAACATCGAAGTATTATTTTGCACAAGGAAGTGCCTCAGTGAACAATGGGGTGTTTCTAAAACGTGAAGAAGGTTAAACATTTATATACAATAGAAACTGACAAGGTCTTGCTTTCCGTAAGAAGAACTATGATAGTAAACGTTGTCATAAATCATAATAATAACATATCTATTTCATTACAAAATATAACCTACTTACTGGAAAACCATTAATCGAAAAAAGAGTATTTTATTCTTTTAGAATGAAATTTACACTTTTTGCAGGAAAAAGGTGAAATAATGCAAAAATTTATATAAAATAGCAGCTACATCTACATTTCTATATGTTTCCCATAAATATATATGGTACAATCAATCAGTCGGTGTTCTAGATAAGCATCTCATGCCTGGAATTTATATTATTCAGCTTGAATAGCCTTATCACCACACCAAGACTTAGGTATAGAATATACTCATAGTATGAACAATATTGCAGATATCATGCTAATGATACATAAAGTTTGTGAAATTCAAGTGATGTCATGCGGAGAGAGAGAAAGAAGTGCCCTTGTCCCACTCGATATGTCATAATATATTATCAATTTTCTAAGAAAATTGTTCCATAGTGCAGTGCATGCATCTATGTTACCTTCCGCAATGTTTCTCAGTCTGTAATCTACAAACAAATCACATCACATGATGTCACACCTGACTGGAGTGGGTCACAACATTTCACTGCAACTGATTGCAATGAACAAGCATGTCAATTCTATTCGACCCAGTTTGTGCACACTTATTTTGATCTATGACAGATAAATAGATGTCGTAAGGAATTAAATCATAAGGTGTTTGTTCTAAAAAAGGAGATTCAAGACATTTTATGTGAATATTCAGTACAAACAAGGAATGATGCACTATGCAAAATTTCAATGCATAAAAGTATTTTAATTCTGCTTTATATATTTAGACCATATCATTTCTATTTCTTTCTTGGTGAATCCAGATATACTACTCCACATTTACTAAGGACCAAAATAGTCATCTTCAATCAAAGGAGTGCTCCTTATCAAACGTAGAGCAGTATAGATGCATTTCAATTACAAAAATATATATAATAAAATCAGAATGAAAAACAGATGCATTAAAGATAATAATGTTTTATATTCCTCGCATATAGGTCTTGAATTAGGTTAAACAAAGTTACAAATTGAAATAACTGCTCTTATAACCCCAAAAAAGGAATCTTGATCTTTGCTTATGTTTGACATTTTGTTCATCAGAAACACAAGGCAAGAAATGATCTGGCTTTAAGACAAAAAAAGGCAATTACTTCGTCTGTCAGCATCAATCTCTCTAAAGTTGTTCCCTGGGAAATGTGATGTTAAGAGATGCAGTATAGTACATGCTATTTCAACAGCATGTTTATTGCTAAATGTTTCAATACACTGGCCAAGGGAGATAACACTCATAACCTTAGTATTTACTTAAGGTATAATCTTTGCTAATGGTGAACCTCAAGAGAATAATTTGTGTGTGGCTATTGTTTTACACTGCAAGAAACAGTTGGGTTATTGTGTTAGCAAAAACTCTTACCAAGTTTCCAATTACCTTGGAGCAGCAATTATAGAAGTTGGAGCACATGATGAATAAGGTATGTGAAGAATATGACTGTCAGTTTCATTTATATTGAGCAGCAAATTATTGGTTGAGATCAATACACAAGTATCAAGCTAATCATTACAGCTGATATTATGTATTTAGTCACATTTATCACCATTTCTGAAACTAATACATCACATTTCATGTTACTATTCGACTAAAATGTATATGCATCTTAAAGTAGACAAAATGTGTAGAATATTCTACCTTCCCCATTTACACTAACCCCATACCCATCCCTACCTCACCCAAATCATTCACCCCCATATCCATCCATCCCCACACCACCCTCACATCTCCTCCCTCACCCAAAACATCCACCCCCATATCCGTCCATCCCCACACCACCCTCACATCTCCTCCCTCACCCAAAACATCCACCCCCATATCCGTCCATCCCCACACCACCCTCACATCTCCTCCCTCACCCAAAACATCCACCCCCATATCCATCCATCCCCACACCACCCTCACATCTCCTCCCTCACCCAAAACATCCACCCCCATATCCGTCCATCCCCACACCACCCTCACATCTCCTCCCTCACTCAAATCATGCACCCCCATATCCATTCATCCCAACAAAACCCTCACATCTCCTCCCTCACCCAAAACATCCACCCCCATATCCATCCATCCCCACACCACCCTCACATCTCCTCCCTCACTCAAATCATGCACCCCCATATCCATTCATCCCAACAAAACCCTCACATCTCCTCCCTCACCCAAAACATCCACCCCCAAATCCATACATCCCCACACCACCCTCACATGTCCTCCCTCACTCAAATAATGCACCCCCATATCCATTCATCCCAACAAAACCCTCACATCTCCTCCCTCACCCAAAACATCCACCCCCATATCCATCCATCCCCACACCACCCTCACATCTCCTCCCTCACTCAAATCATGCACCCCCATATCCATTCATCCCAACAAAACCCTCACATCTCCTCCCTCACCCAAAACATCCACCCCCATATCCATCCATCCCCACACCACCCTCACATCTCCTCCCTCACCCAAAACATCCACCCCCATATCCATCCATCCCCACACCACCCTCACATCTCCTCCCTCACTCAAATCATGCACCCCATATCCATTCATCCCAACAAAACCCTCACATCTCCTCCCTCACCCAAAACATCCACCCCCATATCCATCCCTCCTCACACCACCCTCACATCTCCTCCTTCACCCAAATCCTCCACCTTCATATGTATCCCTCCCAGTACCACCTTTCCTCATCCTACCTGTAAATCTTGGCATCCTGGATGGTTGTGTTGGAGAGCTCATGCCATAGTCATTCTCAGCCTGTACACGGAACGCATAGTCTCGGTCTGGGTTAAGGCCATACACATGGTATGATGTGTTAGGGATTCTCCTCACTAGAGGGCGCCAGTTGGTGTCAGGCAACTCTTGGAACAGGATCGTATAAGTCACAGGAATCTGGTCACGTACATATGATGGCATGTCTGCTGTTCGCCATGACATCCGGACAGATCCTGGGCGCATGTCTGACATGAATGGTTCTTCCTGGGGCAAGTATGGTGGCACTGCAATCAGAATTGAAAATCATTTAAGAACTTCATTTGTAAACAATTGCTGCTACCAGTGAAATATGAAATAGGCGTTGTTCAATTTGCACTTGAAGAAGATACAATTGTAATACCATAATGTATAAAATAAAGGATTAAGTGAGTCCATAGATTAGAATGCTGTAGTGAAATAATTTAAGAATCAAGGCATATTATGTAAAATGTATCAATGTAAGTACACTTTCATAGCAATCATTCTAAGCAGAGCATCTCCAGAGCAAGAACTGTACCGTGGGTAACCTGGCAAACCATTTCTTCCAAGTCAAAAGAGATATGATTTCCTCACAAGTCTCAGTGATAGAGTCTCTGAGTAAGGATTTGACTGCCTTTAGCCAAGTTTAAGCAAGCTTGATACCAGTACCAAGAAATATACTGAACATGACCACCTGTCATAAACAAAATAATCTTAACCAAACAATGTAGGATCTAGAAGGTCCAAAACAATGTCTGTACCTGCTCGTTTTCTCACAACAACTGAATCAGTTGGCTCCCCAAGACCGTAGTCGTTCTCTGCCCTGACCCTGAAGGAGTAGTCTCGGTCTGGAACCAGTCCTGTCACCTGACTCTGCGTCTTCGGAATACCCCGTGTGTGAACCTTCCAGTCACCGCCAGGTGAGTCGATCATCTCGATACGGTATGTGGCCGGTGAGTAATCTGTGATGCGAGTCGGAAGTTCCACATTCCGCCAGGACAACGTGAGGGAGTCAGGCTTGATGTTGAAGGCATACGGCATCTCTCTGGGCATGTGTGGAGGGCCTGGATAGAAGATTGAATGGATGGAATTCAGATACACCAACATGATGTTTTTGTCATATTTCTAACAAAGATGAATGGTGGAAGACATGTAAATGAATTCCATCTAAACATTCTTAACATCTATACTGCACATATTGCAGATACCAGTGGTAAAATCTACTCTGAAAATGCACCCAGGAAGGTCATTGCTGCCTGTTTAATACCATGGTAAGACTATATACGTTCAAGCAGTAACCCAGGAAATTCTAAATCATCAAACTGTATTTGCTCATATTAACATTAAAGTAAAGGGTAACACAACAGGTGAATGTTTTGCAGGTAAAATCACCTTGCCTCTCACATAATTTCTTTTAGTCAAATATTCAGCTTGTTCATGATGTTAACCTCTTCGGTCTCGTAAACAAGACATGTCTACAAAGCAATCTCAGTGCTACTATGCCAAAGTATGGTATGGTCTTAGTGCCACGATCTCTCTGTAGAAGAGCTGATGTTTGTGGTTCAATCAGATAAATCATTCAGTAATTTCATGGCCACCCAAATTTCTTTACCCCGAACTACTCCCTAGTAGACAACTTCAGCAACCTGTTCAGAAACTTCAGAAACTTATAACTCAAAATTCTAATTCCTATCAACATCATATATTTTGACAAAAAATAATGATGCTTTGGACTTACTTGCTCTGTGTGGCAGGTAGGCTCCAGGTGTTGGCTCACTATCGATGCCATCTCCCTCAGCACATACTCGGAACATGTAGTCGCGATCTGGATTAAGGAATCGGGCAGTGTAACTGTTTCCAGGGATGTTGGTGGCCATAGGTGTCCATACTCCACCTGAAGGCTCCTTAGACTCAATACGATACGTAACTGGAGTCGACAACTTGGTTCCAGTAGGAAGTATCAGTGGTCGCCATGACAACAACGCAGAGTCAGCGCAAATGTTGGAGATGATTGGTTCCCTCTGTGGCAGTGCCAGAACTGAAAGAAGAATGTCTCCACATTATAACTTTCTCAATGTTGCATCAGTCACTTGGAACATGCCTTCTGAAAAAATTCATGATATTAACGGGAATTATCTTTCCTTGCCTAAACTTTGCCACCTTGGTTCCTGTCTAGTTTGAATTTGATTTCTGTCATTTTGAAAATAATTTTCTGATAAGAAAAATTTCATTTTATAGCCTAACTGACCTGGTCTTCTGTTCAACCGGAGTGGAATGCTGGACTCTCCAGGACCATACTCAGTGTCCGGGCGGATGCGGAAGATGTAGTCCTTGTCAGGGCGGAGTGCGTTCACCACGTACATGGTGTCGGGGATACGTCGAGCCAACGTCAGCCAGGTGGAGCTTGGGGGCTCCTGCATCTCAACTGTGTACGTAATTGGGATAGGTTTGCGGGTGTACATTGGCAATTCAGCTGGTCGCCATGACAACCTGATGGAATCTGGACCCATCTCGGACATGATTGGTTGTCTTATAGGCAGTCGTGGCCTCACTAAAAAGAAAACAGTTGGGTCCTTTGAATAATCAAGTCTATATCAATACTTCAATCTGCAACAGTCACATAGCTCTACCACCCATACGGCCCAGTCACAGAGCTCTACCACCCATACAGCCCAGTCACAGAGCTCTACTGCCCATACAGCCCAAACACAGAGCTCTACCACCCATACAGCCCAGTCACAGAGCTCTACCACCCATACAGCCCTGTCACAGAACTCTACCACCCATACAGCCCTGTCACAGAGCTCTACCACCCATACAGCCCAGTCACAGAGCTCTACCACCCATACAGCCCAGTCACAGAGCTCTACCACCCATACAGCCCAGTCACAGAGCTCTACCACCCATACAGCCCAGTCACAGAGCTCTACCACCCATACTACCCCGTCACAGAGCTCTACCGCCCATACAGCCCAGTCACAGAGCTCTACCACCCATACAGCCCAGTCACAGAGCTCTACCACCCATACTACCCCGTCACAGAGCTCTACCACCCATACTACCCCGTCACAGAGCTCTACCACCCATACAGCCCAGTCACAGAGCTCTACCACCCATACAGCCCAGTCACAGAGCTCTACCACCCATACAGCCCAGTCACAGAGCTCTACCACCCATACAGCCCTGTCACAGAGCTCTACCGCCCATACAGCCCTGTCACAGAGCTCTACCGCCCATACAGCCCAGTCACAGAGCTCTACCACCCATACAGCCCAGTCACAGAGCTCTACCACCCATACTACCCCGTCACAGAGCTCTACCGCCCAATTAGCCCAGCCATGTTGTTGTGTGTCATTGTGCTGTGTGTGCAAGGTTTATTGCACATGCAATCAACAACTGGTTTGCCTTGTCCCAGATTGGAATATTTATACACATCTTTAATATGACTGGAATAATCTTGCCTGCATGTCAAAAGAGAAATCACAGAATCTATCAAAGCGTAAATTGTAAAAAAGTTAATAAGTCAATCAAAAAGTATGTGTATGTTCAGATAGTTTACCTGGGAAAGATGTGAGAGTAACGGCAGGATAGGGTTCGAGATCAGCAAGAATACCCATTGGCTTGATTCGGAAGGCGTAATCTCGTCCTGGAGTGAGGCCTGTCGCAAGGTAGGTATTGTCTTTCACGTCACGTGCGATTGGTCTCCAGTCCAGGCTTGGAACTTCCTGTGTCTCAATCTGGTATCTGACTGGTTCCATATCTTGGTCAGGAAGACTGAGTGGTCGCCATGACAACCTGACACTGTCAGGTTTAATTTCAGACAGCTTGACACCTTCTGTGATTGGTCTCATTGGAGCTGTAATGAATTCAAAGAAATCATGGAACAATAGATTAAGGGACATATTTCCTGTACACCCATGTTGGGTTGCTAACATAACAGACAACATGAGCCTCATTTGATTGAGTTATGTTTCTGCAAAAAATGGCTGAAGCAACTGAAACCAAAACCCAATTAGAAGAATATCATTCTGGAGAACTAGGACATCTTATAGACATTGGGTCTTTTAAAACAAGCAAGTCTAGTAAACTATGAATGATCATGTCCTGTTCCAAGTGTTGTGAAGAAAAGAAAATCTACAAAACCCTTTCCATATTCATCAGAAATCTCTGCCAAAAGCAAAGTCAATTGCATGATTCCAACAATATCATGAGCATGTGTTTATGAAACACTATCAACTAGTGATGATACCAGGTGTTTGCAAAAAGGTAAGCATACCCTGCCTCACCGGTGGCACCCATCACAAATACATTCAAAGGCAAGTCAATTGTTTACCTTAAAACATATCGGAACACACGGTACAAGTCAAAATAGGGAATTGCACTGATGCATCAAATCTGGAAATGTCCTCTAATGTATTCTATAAAGCTTTTAGAGACCTTGAATGTTGTAACCTTGATCAAACAGCTTCTGAGCAAGAGTTGTATCAGTACGTGGAAATATGGCAGTTCAGGACACACACATCTGCCTTACCTATAGTCCTGGACATGCTGGCTGGGTATGAAGGAGGGCTGATTCCATACGGGGTAAGTCCTCGGACCCGGAACCTGTAGTCCTGTGTGGGCTCAATGTCCGGTAGTCTGTAGGTCGTGCCTGGGATACCAGTGGCTAGAGGTCTCCAGTCATCCACTCCAGGCTCAGAGCCTTCAATCATGTAGGTCAGATGGTCTTCATCTGTTTCATAGGGTGGTACCTCCACTCGTCGCCATGACAACCGGACAGACTCATAGTCAGGCTCATAATCATCGATCTCCAAAGCATCAACAGGAACTCTGGATAGCGCTGTGAAAAAGATATTTTCAGTATATAAAGTACATATCTCATGGATCAATACAAACAGCTCTGGACTAAGTTCAAAGCTGATTCTTATAAATTACAATGACATTCTTCTTCCATTAATATTTTTGTGAAAGAGATTATTACCTTTTTCCATTCATAGCTTACCAATGAAATTATGCTATATTTATACCTTTAACATGGGGCCGGTTGTTTCAGAAGAGTGGGCGAGTGAGAATACATTATCTGGACCACTTCATGTCTACTCTTACCTAGAGTTCTGTACAGTGACGTAGCTGGACTGGGTTCTCCCAATATTCCATCCGGAGACTCAGATCTCACACGGAATCGGTAATCCTGTCCCGGAGCCAATCCATGGACGATGTATGTGGTGTCTGGGATGTTACCGGCTACTCGGCTCCAGATGTTGCTGGGCGGCTCATTCCTCTCGATCATGTACCGCAGAGGTTCATCATGGCTCTCAAATGTCGGGATGTCAACACGGCGCCAGTTCAGCCTCACAGACTCCGGCTCCAACTCAACAATCTGGGGACGGCTGATTGGTACTCCAGGGAAAGCTGGAAGAACCAACATAATAATAATTTTAGTAACACTGTCAATACAGTAAGATTAGATATGGACTTGTACCCTGATCATCTCTTTATGTCAATCAACATGCTCATTTAATTCATGTTGTTATTCATATGCTGTTACTTGGACTATATTAAATTGGTGAATGATAGATCCATATAGGCTGGTATCAGTTTATAATAAAGAAAATGAGAAAATATTAATTCCAGAAATGTGTCACCCTTTGTCAAAGTAGCTAAATATCATCACAAATGCATCAGACTAAAAAATACTTTTGTAATACTGGTGTTGCCCTGTGGGTTTACACTTTAATTATTTTCTTGCGCTTGAATAAGGACCAGAGACCCATATTTTATCATTGCCTTACGTGACTTACCTTTGGCTCTTGGCAGCCATAATGGCTCCGAAGGCTCACTGATGCCATATTTATTCTCTGCTCGGACACGGATGTTGTAATCTCTGTCTCCAGCCAGATCAGATAGATACGCACTTGGGTCATGGATACGGTTCACTAGTGGCACCCAGTCCTCTCGGGGCAACTCCTGAGCTTCCAAACGATATGAAATTGGAGGTGCTTCAAATCGGTCAACAGGCAACCGAGCTGGTTCCCATGCCAACCTGACAGTCTCAGCGCCAATGTCTGTGATGTAGGGTTTAGCAGAGGGAAGTTTGGGAGCACCTGAAATGTTTTAAATGTCATTTTATGTCATTTCCAGCATTCAAATAATAAAAAAAGACATTCTTGCTGTGCACATGATCAATTTATTCAATCAATATATAAAAAAAAAACATATAAAAAATTACATTCATATATTCAACAGGGGTCATTACTATATTTCAGCTGAACGACTAGGCAACATTTAAAATTTCACAGAAATGACAAAGAGAGTTTTCAAATCCTAAATTCCATGACTGATCACTGACTGTTGTCACTTCCTATCTGGAAACGAGTTAATGCTTTACTTCCAAGAAAAGGTGGCAAGAGGAAAAATGGAAATTGCTCTCGTATGGTCATCATACAAGTCAAGGAATTGTAAGGTAATCCAAAGATGTACATGTATGAATGTCCTTGGGTCATCACAAAACAGGGCATGATTGATCAGACTATGGTCCTTTCTTTCAGGTTTGGCTGTTACTTACCAATATAATCATCAAATTCTTTCGGCGCTTTCTTTGGTACTGGAAAAAGGAACATTGTTCAGATAATGATCCATATTGTACCGGACATATAAAAGAAAAAATTGAAGGACTAAATTTGCATTTGTAATTTTGAAAATTTACCGGATTAAACCAAAAGAATTTATATAAAACATTTTGAATGTCAATTGATATTCATTTCTCCCATCAACAGATAAATACACAAGTGTATCAGAAATGGAGGGACGCATTCATTAGAAACTTTATAGCTTGTGATTGGTTCAATTTCACACACAAGAAGAAAATATTGGGCTGATGTCACATCTCAATGTTTTGACAACACTGATATGGACACTAGATTTAGAGCTCAGGTAGGTATCAGGTTTATTTAAAGAAAGGTTTAAATAACAGGATCGAATTCCAGCATACAAGATTTCCATCAACTCCACACATAACATACAACATACCCTCCAAATTAGTTTGTTCAAATAAAATCTGTTTGTTTGTTGTCTTATGCAACACTCAGCAATATTCCAGCTACATGATGTCACCCTGGAAATAACCGAGTCTGGACCAGACAATCCAGTGATCGATATTAGTAGCAACAATCCACATCTTCGTGGCTCTCAGCCGATTTACCGAGTGTTACCGACCATCCATTATGTTACATGTACGATATGCTGCTGGGGATACAAATTAGGTTTTTCTAGTCTCTAGTTCAGAGCTAACTGTCATTCACAAGAAAGAGGTAATCTGTATTCCTAATTGCTCAGAAGTTATTTTCAAAGTACTGACACCTCCTCATGCAAACTTTGATACCTACCTTCTCGTTTATCCAGCACAGCAGGGAGTGTGGGCTCACTGGATCCAAACTTGTTCTCTGCACGAACTCTGAAGTTGTATTCCTTGTTGGGAGAGAGGTCTTTAGCATAGTACTGAGTTCCGTGGAGGTCAGATGCAATACGGGACCATCTCATACTGGGCAGCTCTCGGGCCTCAAGGATGTAGGTGATTGGGCCTGAGGAGGTCGGGAGATCACTAGTGTGTGCTGGGAGCCAGCCCAACTTGACCCCATCTGGTTTGATGTCCAGGAGAACTGGTTTGTCAAATGGTAGTGAGGGAACATTGTCTGGAAGAAAAAAATTAAGCATGTTAAATATGACAGTGGCATTAACAGAGGAGATACTTTGGAGTTATCTTCAATACTGTTTACAACACAATAAGAACCTGGACAAATCAGTTATAAAGCTAAGGGGACACTTGCAAGGATTTCAAAAATGTCAGTTTCATGTGATATACAAATGGCCATGTTTAATGAGTGACTGAATATTGTTTTATCCCATGGTCAGCAACAATTAAGTCTATGCCAGGCAAACCAGGGGCTGATACAAAGAGCACTGATGAATGTCACATGGATACAATGACACAATCAGCCAGGCCACACATTGTTACCACCAGATACTCATTTTAGTCATTTCTTACAACAATCACAGGATACAGGGGACATATTCTTTGTCAGAATCCCCATTGGGGAGGCCACTTTGGAAAGGCGTATCACAGTTCAGGCCCCAGTGAAACACTGACAAATCGAACAAGTACATTACAGTTACCGATGAAATGACTAACAAGAAGGCAACATTGGCCAATCAGAAAGCAGCTTTCTCAAGCTGTACAGCACTGGTCACTTTCCTGGCAACTTCCATCCTGGACTACACTTTAAAAAATATTTTGACAAAATTTGAAAATTGTCTCATAGAGGGCTGAGAATGTATGGCAGTACCTCTCATGGGCTATGGAAAGTGTCTTCCGTTTCTATTGTTTATCCAATTGAAGCGAGAGATAGACAATGATTTTGATCAGTCATTTAGGGCATAACTGTCATTTGGAATGTCCTGTGATAACTTTTTCGAGGTTGCATGATTAGAAGACACATTCTGACTGTCACTTTCCCGATCTGGTAAGTGACGCTCTGATTGGTCCGATGAAAGATCATTCTGAGGTGTAATGGGTAGAGCTTACTGAGGCAATGCTAAGTCAAATACAGTTTTTAATTTGGTGATAATATGTACAGTCAGGTCAATGCAAGAACTGATGAAATTTTTACCTTTATAGAAAACAATTGCTGAAAATATGGCTTTTTTAATTTCAACATTTACTTTTAAAAACATTCTGTGCAGTTTCTGAAAAACAGTGCTAACTAGTATTCAAGTATCAGTGTGTGAAATACAATCTATACTTTAGTATTTAAATCTGCACAGATATGCGTTACTGAGTGACCAAGGCATTGTCCCATAGAGATGATAGTCAATGGTGTATGGTAGGGTATATGGGCATTACAACTGTGGTAACCCTCAGATTTCCCAGGGAAAGGGAAGGGTAGAGGTAGAAACTGTGCGGAGGAGTCATGAACTGACCTTCTGCCATTGCCTTGATAGCATACGAAGGTGTGTAGTCAGGCATGATCACTCTCTCAGGGGAGTACGCCTTCTCCTCTGAAAAATACAAATAAAAGTGATGACACCCTTTCCATAATCATAGGAAATCTCTGCTAAAGGCAGAGTCCATTCTACAATTCTGACTATGTCATAAACATGTGTTCATGAATTACAATTAAATAGTGAGAATACCAGGATTCGCAAATAGGTTAGTGTATCCTGCCCCACCGGTGGTACCCATCACAAGTCAATTAAAAATCACAGGAACATATGTTACAAGTCAAAATAGGAAATTGTATATAATAAAACACAACAAAATTAGTTCCAGTCTGTATATAAAGCCTAGGCAAGTACAGATCATACCAATCCAAGCCTAGTTTCCTTCATTCCACATCTTGAACACTGCAGAAGAGGCAAGGTTCTTTCAAAAACAAAATTATTTTGAAGAAATGTTTTAGTATATACAGTGAAACCTGGGCATTATGGATGGTACTGTGCCAAGGATACTCATCCAGATTAGCCAATTCCTGGTTTAACAAATCATTGTTGCGGAATAATGTTCTTTTCCATGTATAAATATGTCTCTATCAAGATCTGCCTGATGATGGGCTTTCTACATTAACAGGGTCTGGTCTAACAAGGTTGCACTCTGTATGAAACACATGTGTTTAACAATGTGGTTTGTGCTTAGGCAAGTGACTTTATTCAAAGCTGGCCTCTATTCACACAGCAGCAAATGGATACCCAGTTGGAAGAGCTGGTTCTGTGTATACAAACCTTCTAGTGCCATTTAGGCAGCTATAGTTGTATACTCTCCAGTCAGCTGAGAATCTTATTTCGGTACACACAGTTCAAGTACCTAGTGCAAACATTGTGCAGTACCAGGTGCATGGAAACAGTACAATACAGATATGCATTTATCATGAGTGAGTGAGTGAGTGGGTTGGATTTAGCGCCGCTTTTAACATTATTCCAGTTATATCACGGCGTGTCAGCTTAATGTGGGAGGAAAGCCCAAAGTGACGCAGGGCTTAGACGTTTACCACTTCAGTGAAACCCAGGAGCACAGGTATGGTGCTGATAAACCTAGAAACATAATCAGGGCGAATCAGTATTCGAACCCACAATCATACTCTGCACAGAGAATTGCGGCGCCTTAGATGACTTGGCCACCGTGGCCCCGCATTTATCATGAGGAATAATTTGACAATTATTTTACCTTTAACCTTCAGCCTTCCCATACTGGTTGCTTTGCCGGCCTCGTTTGTGATGGTGCAGGTGAATTCTCCCATGTCATCCTTGTCCACATCATCCAGTGTCAGATAGTAGGTGTTGCCTTCCTTCCCAATTGAATACTTGCCACCGTCTTTGATAGGAAGCCCATCCTTTTTCCTGGGTTCAAAATTAGAAACAATTAGGAGACTGCATAAATGGTGTATTGGATATTTGTAAATGTACCATATTACAAATGGTAAAAGAAAGTGACTTAACAAGACAAAAAAGTCTGAAAATATTTCCGTTTGAAGTGCATTTTCAAACTTCTGTTAGCAGTATTCTCGCAAAATCATGGTAGCCCAACACTTGTGTCATGTTTTGTTGAGGCAGTGTTTACCTTATGTTAAATTGATAACACATACAAACCATTCAACCTCTGGCTCTGGCACACCGATGGTGCGGCACTCAAATCTTGCTGAGCCACCAGGAGGAGCAATAGTGTCCATGATTCTCTTGGTGAAGGATGGAGGGAACCCATAGGGTTTGGCCTTCTTTTCAGGTACTCTGTTCAAATAAGTGAAGATTAGAGGCAGGATATGATATTCAAATTCATCAGATGAAATCAGGATGCAGAAATACAGATTTAAAAACACACACACTAAACTGTTGCTACATTCAGGTCATTATCACTGACCCCAAAATAAAGAAATGACCCCAGTGAACAACAGTGTCACATGTTCTCTGACAGCATAAACATAATTCTTAGATATTAATGTATTTACTTAATTAATGACAAACATTATTTTCATATTTAAATAATGGAATTTTCAAAATATAACTAGAGATTATTTTTGACCACAGGAAAGGGCCATGACTTACTCCTTGAATATCGGTGGCGATGCTTCTCTCCTCTTTGGTGCCAGGACTGTCAGCCAGGCCTGACAAGAGACTTCTCCAGCAGCATTCTTGGCCCGGCAAGTGTACTCGCCCTCATTGGCTGGAATTACATCCTTCAGCACCAGCGTGTACGTATCACCCGACTGGATGATATCACGGCGTTTTGACTCCTGAACACAGAATCAGTCTATATTTTCACAAGGTGCACTGATTGTATAGCTTGTAGGACATGTGCATAGAGAAAACAAATAACTATTACCAATTTCTTAACCATATATCCTTATTACACCTAAAGGTTAGTTTTTTTTTAAATGCAGTCAATTTATTAAATTTGACTTACAAAGAGTTCTCTGCCCTTGAAGTACCAAGTGACCTCCGGAGCAGGGTCACCCATGACGATTGCCTCGAATGTTGCTTCTTCTGTTTCTCTGATGTCTGCATCTCTCGGTCTCTCCACAAACTCGGGTTTTGTTCCCCGTTTCTTCGGATCTTCCTTGACATTTAACCATGCACGACACTTTGCCTCTCCAGCTACGTTCCTGAGTCTGCAAGTTATCTCCCCTGAATGGTAGGTCTGGGCCAATCGGAAAGCAAGAGCTGCCTGTCTGCCATCATTTGTCATTGTGGCATCAAAGTTGAGATCTGTTGTGACCACTTTGCCATCAATCAACCAGGCGACATCAGGTTCAGGCTTGCCTTGATACATGCAGTTGAAGTCGATAGGCACACCCTCCAGACAGTCAAGGTCATAGAACTTTGTGGTGAAACGTGGGGCCATCATTTCCTCTTCAATCTCTGCCTTAAGAGCTGCAAAATCAGAACAAATGATAACATGATTTTCTGTGATTATTTTGGAAACACATATTTATGCGAGTGTCAACATGGTTTAGGATATTAACGTATTCTCTCAGAGTGCACCAATAATTCATACTGCTATAAACAAGTCCTTATTCTCAGACACAATCTTCTGGATGGGTCTACCCTACATTTTGCATAAGCGAGAAAAATACATATAAAGCTTTGTTTAAATTAAGATATGTCTCCATGGTACCCTCCCATAAGTACCAATGACATTGAGCAAGACCTCCATGGTACAATCCCATACTTACCAATGCCATTGAGCAAGGCCTCCCTGTAAACATCCCATACTTACCAAAAACATTGAGCAAGGCCTCCCTGTAAACATCCCATACTTACCAAAAACATTGAGCAGCGCCTCCATGGTACCATCCCATACTTACCAATTACATTGAGCAAGGCCTCCGTGGTACCATCCCATACTTACCAATTACATTGAGCAAGGCCTCCGTGGTACCATCCCATACTTACAAATGACATTGAGCAAGGCCTCCCTGTAAACATCCCATACTTACAAATGACATTGAGCAAGGCCTCCGTGGTACCATTCCATACTTACCAATGACATTCGGCAAAGCCTCTGTGGTACCATCCCATACTTACCAATGACATTGAGCAAGGCCTCCGTGTAAACATCCCATACTTACAAATGACATTGAGCAAGGCCAAATGACATTGAGCAAGGTCTCCCTGTAAACATCCCATACTTACCAATAACATTGAGCAGAGCCTCTGTGGTACCATCCCATACTTACCAATGACATTGAGCTAGACCTCCGTGGTACCATCCAATACTTACAAATGACATTGAGCAAGGCCTCTGTGTATACCATCCAATACTTACAAATGACATTGAGCAAGGCCTCTGTGCTACCATCCCATACTTACCAATGACATTGTGCAAGACCTCTGTGGTACCATCCAATACTTACAAATGACATTGAGCAAGGCCTCTGTGCTACCATCCCATACTTACCAATGACATTGAGCAAGGCCTCTGTGGTACCATCCAATACTTACCAATGACATTGAGCAAGGCCTCTGTGGTGGCCTCGCCATACTCGTTCTTGGCCACACACTGGTATCTGCCACTATCTGCCACCTTGACATTCTTTATTAGGAGAGAGAAGATGTCCTCGTTGGCGTTGATCAGCTTAAACTTCTCATTCTCCCTTACAACCTTCCCATCCTTCTTCCTGGAGGAGGGAAATCAGAAGGTTATAAAACAACTGAATATACTTCTCTTAGCAAGATCAAGGATATGTGCAAATAGTGACTGGATAATTTTTCTAATATTATGTGACAACTAGCTTTTCAACATTTGTAATCTTAAGTAGTGATATACATGTATCAGCCAAGTAGAAATATATAATGAAATCAGCCATAGGAAAACATCAACTTTTCCAAACCTAAGGGGATGCCCCAGCAGTGGAATATTTGTTATATGAATTGTGAAATTTATTTTATTGTATTCAACTCTCACCATTCTCCAACTATTATAGATTACTAAAAGAACATACCATACAATTTCTGGATCAGGGTAAGCACACACACGGCAGTCAAAACGGGCAAGATGCCCAACTTCTATTCTCATGTCTTTCATATCTTCTTTAATAACTGGAGCACTGCCTTTAGCAACAGTTTCTTCCTTCTGGTCTTCAACGGCCGATACAGGCTCTGATGGCTCTGCTGCCTTGCTTGGTTCTGCTTCTGATTCAGGTTCTGTCAAAGGCTCTTCAGTTTTTTGGACAGGCTCTGCTGTAGGCTCCTTTACTGCCTCAGGCTCCTTAACTACCTCAGGCTGTTTAACTGGCTCAAGTTCCTTTTCCGGTTCTGGAGTAGGCTCCTTTATTGGCCCAGGCTTCTTAACTGGTTCTGGTGTAGGCTCCTTTACTGGCTCAGGTTTCTTTACTGGTTCTGGAGTAGGCTCCTTTGCTGGTTCTGGTGTAGGCTCCTTTGCTGGTTCTGGTGTAGGTTCCTTAACTGGCTCAGGTTCCTTTACTGTTTCTGGTGTAGGCTCCTTTACTGGCTCGGGTTCTTTAACTGGCTCAGGTTCCTTTACTGTTTCTGGTGTAGGCTCCTTTACTGGCTCGGGTTCTTTAACTGGCTCAGGTTCCTTAACTGGTTCTGGAGTAGGCTCTTTAACTGGTTCAGGTTCCTTTACTGTTTCTGGAGTAGGCTCCTTTACTGGCTCAGGTTCCTTTACTGGTTCTGGAATAGGTTCCTTTACTGTTTCTGGAGTAGGCTCCTTTACTGGCTCAGGTTCCTTTACTGGTTCTGGAGTAGGTTCCTTTACTGGTTCTGGTGTAGGTTCCTTTACTGGCTCAGGTTCCTTTACTGGTTCTGGTGTAGGTTCCTTTACTGGTTCTGGTGTAAGTTCCTTTACTGGTTCTGGTGTAGGGTCCTTTACTGGCTTAGGTTCCTTTACTGGTTCTGGTGTAGATTCCTTTACTGGCTCAGGTTCCTTTACTGGCTCTGGTGTAGGCTCCTTTACTGGCTCAGGTTCTTTTACTGGCTCAGGTTCTTTTACTGGCTCAGGTTCTTTAACTGGCTCAGGTTCCTTAACTGGTTCTGGAGTAGGCTCCTTTACTGGCTCAGGTTCCTTTACTGGTTCTGGTGTAGATTCCTTTACTGGCTCAGGCTCTTTAACCGGTTCTGGTGTAGGCTTCTTTTCTGGTTTTTGTGATGATTCTTGTTCTTTGACAGCTTCTGCCTCCTGCTGACCGTTCTCTTGTGGCTCTGGTGATACTGTCTTAGACGGTGGTTCCGATACAGCCTCGTGATCCTGGATTTCTGCAACATCACAGTTCTTAGATGGTCATATTAACAAACAAATATGAATATGCAAGTGAAACCCATGCTATCTTCATTAGCAATTTGAACACACAAACGAATCATGTTTCGTTCAAGCTAAAAATCACATCTGCATTGGGAGGAGATAGTTAGTAAAATTGAGGTAGGAAAATCTTAAGATTATTTTTTACAAGTTTGGAATACTAGAATATTCCAAGATTGTACACAATAACAAGCCTACCTTCTAATACAACAAGTTCTGTTGTGCTGACTATAGCACCATTAACATTGGTTGCTTTGGCTGTGTACTGTCCACCCTCTGTCTTCTTCACCTCCCGAAATACGAGGGCGCAGTTGTCTCCCTCGACAACACACTTGCGGGTGGCAGTCTCCTCAACTTCTATGTTATTGGTCAGCCAAGTGAGTGTCGGTAGTGGGTTTCCACCAACAACACAATCAAGCTTTGCTGTTGACCCCTCTGTAATGAGAGCACAAACACTGTTACTGTCAAGCATATGACCAAACACAGTACAACACATCTCACAACTTGAAACTGTTATCTTGAAACTGTATTGCATCTTCACCTTTTCACACATGCAGCACTGCCCAGGGAATCTCATGGCAGCCACACATCTTGAAACAACCAAGGTTGTTTACATACTACTTTTCCGATCGTCGATTCTTTTAAAATTATGACTTTTTTTAATACTAGTTGTTTAGTAACTGAGAATGTTTTAATGTGATTTTTTTAATACTCAAGCCTATCACAGCCATTGACACCTAGAACAGACTTCACATTTTGCCTATATTGGGAATCAAAGTTTTGATTAGGACAAGGCAATGCTGTAACCAACAGGCTACCTACAGCCCAGCTGATATTGACTTCCAACGTATGGACCTCACAGATGTATCTGAATCCATAAAGACTGATCTGAGTCAACCATTCAGGTAATATAAAAATGGTTTGAAACATTTTCATTGTTCTTTCTATTTCTATATTGTTTTAAGGTTTCAGCATTAATTGCAGTTGACAAAATGTTTGGCACAAAATGATAATCGATTATATTAATGTCTTTTGAAGTCATTCCTACTAAAAAAATTTTATATTTATTTCTTAAACCACTAAAATATTCATAAACCAACTAAACCACTAAAATATGCTTGCAAACTGAATTATAAAAATTCAGTTTGCAAGCATATTTTAGGGGTTTAGTCTCTACTTCCACAACTGACAGCTATGTTCATCTTCAGGGTGTTTTGAAATGCCACGAGTGCCATACAGACAAATCCTGTCCCTCAGATACTTGCCAAATCGGAAGCAATTTTCTATGACAGACATGTTTTGGGGAGTGCAACCAACCCGTGTTATATCTGTAAGAACCAAGCCTAACAGTAAAGTATACGGGTGGACACTAAGTGCACCATCGGAAAACAAAGAAATATATCGATACACAGATAATACTGCATAACATGTCTTACCTTATACCTATTCATACGGCAGCTTGACAAAATAAAACATGCCCTTCACCGTTTAGAGTGAGGTAAGAGGATTGAAGCAATAGTTCCACGCAAATTATGATGTAACGTCTCAGGAATGTGATGCAGTGTTTTCATATATCTGGTAATTCCAATTTTATCCCTGCACAAGTTTCTTGGGAACTTGCCAAACCTTATCAGCCAAAAAAAAATATGGAAGAACAACTTAACCCTTAACCCTCAGAAGACCAAACCCAAGGCTAACAACAACCTAAACACAACCATCTTCTAACCACTCTCAGATAAACAGATTTTATTTCGTGAATTTGCAGTAACTGAGATTTGCCAAACCACTGACTAGAAGACAAACTGACTGTTCCACTGAGTGCTGCTTCTGTGAAACTGCTTATAGTCCAACTGGTAAGGTGAAGCTGGAACTGCTTTTGATAACCATCCTGCTCTCCAGCAGCTAAACAGGAATTTAAAAACTTGACTACACCCACCTAGATTCCTGCTCGGGGCTTCCAGTTCTTCCAATGTTTTCTACTTGCAAAACCAACCTACTGTAACACATGTCTGATTTGCAGAGCATATGTTATGATCCGTTTGGTAATGAGACACTGGTGATGGACTTGATGTGATGCCAGCCATACAGGAAAAGTACTCATGACACAGTCATCCATCACTGTGGGCTACATTACAACACACGACTGCCAGTAGAGTGCCCTCAATGTATTATAGGGTATGTTATCATAATGGTGAGTGTTATCGCTGCCATAACCCAATCCAATAGACTTGGTATCACAATCGGATAAATATGAAAACCTAACTCACTCATGTACCAAATAATAATATTTATTAGGAGATAAGACAATCATGGGTTTTCGGGGTTTCAAATATTCAAAAGCAAGAGATACTTCAGGGCCACTACAAAACCCCAAACATATTATATTAGATTTACATTGTAAATATAAAAGTAATGTTCTTTCCAGCCTCTTTGCATGTATCAGAATAGCTGTTCGACAGACATGAAAGGCAATGAAGTTTCATAAACAATGAATGACAACATGTTATGCTGCCATGACAAAAATCAACAAAATCAAAGTATTTCTTTCAGTGTTTCTCCATAATGAATATGCTTTCTATGACTCCATGTCAAATACCACATTTTGTTGAATTTGTGACTTGAGAAAACAAATACACTTGCAAAAGATGATATAAAATATGACTTGCTACACAGGAAATCAAGTTCAATATTCAGACACCTTGACGGGGCCAACATGCAGATAGTACATTATCTAAGCGCTCTATTTCATAATGTTCAGCATATTACCAGATTCATGTAAACCACTCCATTAAAACTGTTTGCATTTTCTTGTTATGTTTTCTATTCAGGATTAAATTTCTTTCAGGTTTTGGCTCAGATTTGTTGGACCATTGTCACAGATTCCTATATATCATCAAGGTGAACTTTGTGCCAAACCTTAAAGAAATGTCTGACAGTTTGCCAGGGAATTCAAACCATGTAGTCAAACACCTTGGCAAGTTAAGATGGTATCTATCATGAGGCCAAATCTTCTGAAGCAGACTTGAATCATATGGTGCACATCCACCAGTTGAATGTCACCTTGAAATGAAATCAAGGAAATTTAAAGTCTACCCAGGATTTCTTGCTTGAAATACAGCTTGTAAAACAATGTTTCCAATGGCTTCTGATTATCATCATACAGTAATTATACACAAACAGTGATGAATCCAAAGGTTTCGTGGAGTTTGACACACTGCCCCCTCACATCCTATATGAATAAAAGTGACAATAACAAAATTTCATAATCATAAGAAATCTACACTGACAGCTGAGTCCATAAATCGAATTCTGACTATGTCAAGAGCATGTGTTTATGAATCACTATGGAATAGTGATGATACTAGGTGTATACAAAAAGGCGAAGGCATCATGCCCTACCTGTGGCACCTGTCACAAACACATACAAAGGCAAGTCAAGTAAAAACAAAGAAATAAAGGATACAAGGCAAAATAGGGAACCCCAGTGACATGGGAGGGAAAACACCTCTTTGTATTAAGATACACAAATGCATTCAATATTTGACCCCAACCCCGAATACACACATGCAAACAGTCTGTTAAGAATTTGAAATTTGAACTCCCTTACTTAAAAAAAATCCTGGATCTGCCTCTAATACATGTGTCACTCTGAACATGTCAAGGTAGAACTACCATTTTCTTATGATTGCATTGGTATGCTGGTAGAAAAGCTCTGATGGAACATGTGATAACACACATATCTCCCCCTTAACACAGCACTGACACTAGGAGACATCAACCTGCTGGAAGCATCTAATACATATGTCATCTTTGAATACCTCACATAGATTCTCAGTTCAGGTTGACCTTGTCTTACTAAAACTCATTGTAACAAGTCTTTGCATTTATTGATGCCCAATGATCTGTAGTCAGAGCATTTAACGTTTTCTGAGAAAGGTATTTTTAAAATCCAGGTAACTTAATCTAAGTTTCCATATGAAAAATGAATGGCGTAAGTGTGCATTCTATCTAGCTAGGTGCACCTACTACCTACTACACCAAATTTATACTTTATTGTAGACTAACATAGAGAAATCACTCAACAATTTACAGTTTTGCATATAAGTGTAATTAATAGTATATTTCAAAAGTAGCTAAACCTTGGACAAACATTAATCTATAAGAAAACATAATAATTTCTACATGTGTGGTTTTTTTTTAGCAAATGAACAAAAAGATTCCTGTCTACATATATCCCTCAATTTCTAATGTACATCAACATTCCATTGACAACGTCATGAAACAAGGTTACTATGCAGTGACAAAAATAGCTCAAGAATGTTACAGCCGTACTCTTATTCCTTTTGCCATAAACAATATGCACCCTGTCATAAATTGGGAATTAATTCACACTTTGTTTCATAAATAACACCAAATTTTTTGACAATTTGACTTTCAGTCATTTTGTCGACAGATTGACTTAAGATATGCTGTAAAGGACTCCCAATATACCACAGCTTACTTGTGCAGTGGACACAAACACATACCAGTAGACATCCTTAACTATTTCTTACACAGTGGTGAGTGAGTGAGTTTGGTTTGATGCTGTTTTCAACAGTCCTTTCAGTGACATCGTGGCACGTCAGCTTGAAGTTTGAGGAAAGCCTGAAGTGATGCAGGTCTGAGACATTTAACGCTTAGGTGAAACCCACAAACCCTAGTATGATGCAGGTAAACCTAGAACAATACCAGGGTCAATCTGGGATTTGAACCCACAGTCATAGGTTTATGGCACTCTGCACAGCAAATTTTGGTGCTTGAGACAACTGGGCCATCTTTGACCCCAGTTGTGAGTGAGTGAGGTAAGGTAGGCAGTGGGTGAGTGAGTGTAGTTTAAAGCCACTGTAACTGCATTCCACTTATATCTTGGCGTGTCAGCTGGAGTGGGAGGGAAGTATGGACTCCAAAGTGATGCTGGTCATACACGTTTAACACTTTGATGAAACCACTAAGCATGGGTTTGGTGCTGATAGGGATGACACTGAGATTTGAAGCTTTGCTCAGCAGATCCTTGAATGGCTTAAGGATATGATTCTTCACATGGGATTGCACAGCCTTAGATAACATGTCCCACTGACACACATAGGAAACTGCAGTCTGGGTCCATACCCCCTTTAAAAACAACCATGGCAATATACCTTTAATGTAGTGATGTTAGTCTGATGTTTAGACTTGCCTGTAATCTGACAAGACCAAACCATAACATTAATTACGGTAATCTACTGAAACCTGAGCCTGTCTACATCCAGAGGTGGCTCAACATAAACATCCTAGCTATACACAGACCATAGGTACATGTGTAGGTGAAGATGGGTTAATAAGAGGGTAACCTTGACGGGCTTAACACACATTACACAAGGTCAAGAGATAGTGATGGCCTCTGTGAAACAAGTGCT